ATTTACTCAAAGGACAGTTTTGAAGTTGTATATCGGTTTTGTTTTCACTCCTTGAGTAGACTGGATTTTTAGGTGGTTTGAGTGGGCTTTGCTCAAGGATGAAAAGGGTCTTGTGGGCTGTCTTGCACACTAAAGAGGGACCAGAGCTGGGCTTTACATGGAGGTCGTAGTTCATGGCAGAGTTCAACTTAGAGATCCACTTGTCACTATTGACATAGCTGATGAATTTAGACCACGTGATGTGATTGTAGTCGGAGCCTTTGTGTAAAATTAGATTCCTCAGCTTTTTGTCTCATTTGACGTGCTCAACACAAATGTCCTTTGTAAAGGCTATGTGTGATGCACCTAAGCAGCATAGCCTGGACACTTTTAGAGGGAAATTTGCACTTCCAGCAAGCTGCCAGTTTTGCTGGGATAATTAATTGTTTTCTCATTAGTGTGATTGCATTAGTTTGCATTCCTGACAAAATCTCCTGTTTCTGAGAAGTGCAGGCAATCACATGTTGTTTATGTGTAAAGGACAGACCAGTGTTTATCATGAATGTCCACTTTCCAGTCAAGGTTTGTCTGCTGCTCTAATGTGATAAAAGGAAGTTAGTGTAAGGCTTGTTAGATGTCTGGCTTTCAGCCCAGAACTCAGTCTCAATCAGAAGCTTAGAAAGCACATTAGGGGATTTGTTGTCCTGTGCCTCACTGTAAGGACCACACTCTAAACTTTATACTGCTTCCTTTGTTTCAAGATATTGATCAAATTAACCTTCTACCGTACCCTAGAAGACTGATCTTGTGGTGTTGGTCAGGACTTGCATGTGTACAGGGAACAGAATATTAGAAACACCTCACATTATATTGCAGTCCAGCACCACACCATCGTTAACGGGGGGTGGGTGTGGTTCAGTGGGTAGAGCAGTCGTCCCTCAACCAGAGAGTCGGAGGTTTGAATCTCAATGCCTGCAGTCCACGTGTCGAAGTGTCCTTGTGCAAGACACTGAACCCCCAAGTTGCCCCTGATGGTTAGAGCCATCGGTTGAGTTGGCAGCCGGCTGCCTCAGTTCTGTACCGCAAACATATTCCTTGTGTGTGTAACATGCACACACAAGGAATGACGTCATTTGTGTTGATGATGAAGGAAAGTCATGATAATTGTTCTGTGCCTAGGCTCTCATACACATCACAACCAGTGAGAATCAGAAAGACCGATACCGTGATGGAGTGATATATTCTCCCTCTGGGCTAGGTGTGAACAGACTGACAGTGTAATGACTCTGCCTGAGTCCACACCAAATAAAGGTGATTATTATCCAACAGTATGATCTCAGAAATCACCATGAGCGTGAACTAATATTCCTCTGTCACACTGTCAACAAAAAACAAACATTATGTCAATGATCATCACATTATACTTGATAAACTGGTAACTCAAGTATAGTGGTAAAGCTTCTGTACTCATCTGTAATGCCTCACCTGTAGGTCTCAAAAGTCAAAAACTCAAGTCTGAATACCAAAACACGTTCATTGTGTGACAAGTCCAACCCCCCAAGGAACCACTGTGAGGTTCATCCACCAGTGAGGTTCATCCACCAGTCAGTCCCTGTTGTGATTGACAAGGTCTTGAACCTCTGTTGCTAAGCTTTCCCTCAAATTGGTAAGTTTTGGAGGCAGTCAGCCGAGACCATCAATTGTCCATGGGCCGATTGATGGTCCCAGAGGCTGGACAGAATACTGATCAGTATTGAGGTCCTTGTACCGACAGCCAACATGCACATATTTTATACATGAGGAGCTGGCACATAAGTGGGGTGGGGTCTGTACTGGTCCATGCCTTTCTTGATTTGAGAAGGGATGATGTGGTGGTTATTTAATTCACAATTAGTTTTGTGCTAAGTGGTATTATGTTTTGTACAGAGATTTCTTTTTACTATTTCATTTTCTGTTTTTGTAGATATCTTGATTTTTGAATGTTTGTCCTCTGTCTTGTTCTCATTTTGCAAGATATGAAGGGAAGAGGCAGAGGATCACAGATTAATGCTCTGTTTTTAGAGAGACCTAGAATAACCTTACTTTCCTATCAGTCTGTGGGGATGCAGAGGTATACTTGTGTACAAGTAGAGCTTTAGAGGTTGGCATATTCTGCACACAAACATCACAAGCTGTGACTGAAACACTCACTCTCAGTCATATAAGAGCGCCCTTTACTCTTATTGACCTGCAAAGATAAATAAGGAAGCAGCTCCACTGCAGTTATTCTTTGTAGAAAGACGGTGAGAAAGGAAAATGCTCTTATGGGGAAAGTATTACCCAAAATGTTTGGCAGCATTTTGGTCAGAGACAGTATGTTGCCCTTTAATGCCACTTGACAAAAGCTTCACTGCCCAAGTTGAGTTTTATAACAGTCAGTACAACTTTCTCAGCCAGTTGGAGAGAATTTGGAGTTAGTAAGTGTAGACTTTTTTCCAGAATTTGGACGTAAGAAGCAGGGGGCTTTACATACACGCCGTGTTAATTCATTCACT